TAACTTATAGTAAAAGACTTAAAGAGCTTGATCTGTTCAGTTTATCAAGGAGAAGACTGAGAGGTGACTTAATTACTGCCTATCAGTACCTTCATGGGGAGAAAATGCTCGTTAGAAAAGGGCATTTTAATCAAACAGAGAAAAGCACAGTTAGAACCAATGGCTGGAAGTCAGACACAATTACATGAGAAATAAGGCACAGGTGTTTTTTTTTTCCAAGAGAGGTGATTATCCTTTGGCACAAACTACCAAGGGAAGTGGTGGATTCTCATTTCTTGATATGTTCAAATCAGGACTGGCTCCCTTTCTGGAAGGTACATCTTAGCCAAACATAAGTTATTGAGCTCAATGCCAGGTAACTGGGAAATTCTATGGTTATTGTTAGCCAGGAGCTCAGAATGGATGATCTAATGACTCATAGACTTTCAGGTCAGAAGGGACCCTCATGATCATCTAGTCTGACCTCCTGCACATTGAAGGCCACAGAACCTCTGTAATAGACCCCAAAACTCTGGCTGAGCTATTGAAGTCCTCAAATCGTGCTTTAAATACTTCAAGTTACACAGAATCCACCATTTATGCTAGCGGTCTGTGTCCCATGCTGCAGAGTAAGGCAAAAAACTGGCAGGATCCCTGCCAATCTGACCCAGGGGAAAATTCGCAAATATGGCGACCAGTTAGACCCTGAGCATATGGCCAAGATCCACCAGCCAGACACCTGGGGAACAATTCTTTGCAGTAACTCAGAGTTCTTCCCATCTAGTGTCACATTTCACCGGCCATTGGAGATAGTTGCTGCTAGCAGTCGTAGATCGGCCACATGCCATTGTAGACAGTCCTATCATACCATCCCCTCCATAAACTTATGAAACTCAGTGTTGAAGCCAGTTAAGATTTTTGCTCCCTCTGTTCCCCTGGGAAGGCTGTGCCAGAATTCATTCAATGATGGTTAGAAACCTTCACCTAATTTTGAGACTAAACTTCATAGAATCATAGAATATCAGGATTGGAAGGAACCTCAGGAGGTCATCTAGTCCAACCTCCTGCTCAAAGCAGGACCAATCCCCAACTAAATCATCCCAGCCAGGGCTTTGTCAAGCCTGACCTTAAAAACCTATAAGGAAGGAGATTCCACCACCTCCCTAGGTAACCCATTCCAGTGCTTCACCACCCTCCTAGTGAAATAGTTTTTCCTAATATCCAAGCTAAACCTCCCCCACTGCAACTTGAGACCATTACTCCTTCTTCTCTCATCTGGTATCACTGAGAACATCTAAATCCATCCTCTTTGGAACCCCCTTTCAAGTAGTTGAAAGCATCTATCAAATCCCCCCTCATTCTTCTCTTTTGCAGACTAAACAATCCCAGTTCCCTCAGCCATTCCTCATAAGTCATGTGCTCCAGACCCCTAATCATTTTTGTTTCCCTCTGTTGGACTCTTTCCAATTTTTCCACATCCTTCTTGTAGTGTGGGGCCCAAAGCTGGACACAGTACTCCAGATGAGGCCTTGCCATGTCAAATAGAGGGGAATGATCATGTTCCTCGATCTGCTGGCAATGCCCCTATTTATACAGCCCAAAATGTTAGCCTTCTTGGCAACAAGGGCACACTCTTGACCCATATTCAGCATCTTGTCCACTGTAACCCCTAGGTCCTTTTCTGCAGAACTGCTGCCTAGCCACTCGGTCCCTAGTTGGACAGTTTATCTCCATTTGTTTTTGTGTCAACATTTGTACTTAAATAACTTCTCTCCCTCCCTGGTATTTATCCCTCTGTTATATTTATAGAGAGCAATCATATCTCCCCTCAGCCTTCTTTGGGCTAGGCTAAACAAGCAAAACTGTTTGAGTCTCCTCTTATAAAATAGGTTTTCCATTCATTTGATCATCCTAGTAGCCTTTCTCTACACCTGTTTCAGTTTGAATTCATCTTTCTTAAGCACGGGAGACCAGAACTGCACACAATACTCCAGATGAGGTCTCACGAGTGCCTTGTATAATGGCACTAACACTTCCCTGTCTCTACTGGAAATACTTCACCCGACGCATCCTAGGACTGTAGTAGCCTTTTTCACAGCCACCTCACATTGGTGGCTCATAGTCATCCTGTGATCAACCAATACACCCAGGTCTTTCTCTCCCTCTGTCAGTTCCAACTAATACATCCCCAGCTTATAGCAAAAATTATTGTTGTTAGTCCCCAAATGCATGACCTTGCACTTTGCACTAATAAATTTCATCCCATTTCTATTACTCCAGTTTACAAGGTAATCTCACTCTTCTTGTCCTCCTCCATATTGGCAATCCCTCCCAACTTTGTGCCATCCATAAATTGTATTAGCACATTCCTGCTTTTTGTGCCAAGATCAGTAACAAAAATGTTAAATAAAATTGGTCCCAAGACTGATCCCTGAGGAACTTCACTAGTAACCACCCTCCAGCCTAACAGTTCACCTTTCAGTACAACCCGTTGTCTCCCTTTTAACCAGTTCCTTATCAACCTTTCAATTCTCATATTAATCTCCTTCTTCTCCAATTTGACTAATAATTTCCCATGTGGAACTGTATCAAATGCTAAATCTACTGCATTTCCTTTGTCTAAAAAAATCAGTTAGCTTCTCAAAGAAAGAGATCATGTTGGTCTGGTATGATCTACCTTTTGTAAAACCATGTTGTATTTTATCCCAATTGTTGTTCACCTCTATGTCCTTAGCTACTTTCTGTTCAAAATTTGTTCCAAGACCTTGCATACAATTGAGATCAAACTAAGAAGCCAGTAGTTTCCTGGATCACTTCCCCCCCCCCCTTTTAAAAATAGGAACTCTATTAGCAATTCTCCAGTCATAGGGTGCGACCCCCCAAGTTTACAGATTCATTAAAAATCCTTGTTATTGGGCTTGCAATTTCATGTGCCAGTTCCTTTAATATTCTTGGGTGGAGGTTATCCGGCCCCCCAGTTTGGCTGAGTTTGGCTTCCACTTTGGATGTGGTAATTTTTATCTCCCTATCCTCATACCCATTAGCCACCCTGCCATGACCCCTAAGCTCTTCTTTGGATTTAAAGATTGAGGCAAAGTATTTGTTTACGTGTTGGGCCATGCCTAGATTATCTTTGATCTCCACCCCATCCTTAGTGCTTAGTGGTCCCACTTCTTCCCTTATTTTCTTCTTCTTTATATGGCTACAGAACCTTTTACTATTGGTTTTAATTTCCTTTGCGGAGTCCAACTCTGCTTGGCTTTTGGCAGTTCTCACTTTATACCTACATTTTCTGACCTACAAGAGATAGCCTTCCTCGCTGATTCCTCCTATCTTCCATTCCTTGTTGGCTTTCTGCTTTCTCTTAATCACCTGTTTGAGATGCTTCCTCATCCAACTTGATCTTCAGCTCTCCCTACAATTTTTTTCCCCTTGCTTAGGATGGGTTCTTCAACTTTGACATAAAGTAACTCCAAGCCTCCTCCACATTCAGATCCTTGAGTTCTTCAGTCTAGTCCCCTTCCCTAACTAATTCCGTTACTTTTTGAAAGTTTCTCCTTTTGAAATCAAGGACGCTAGTTGCAGATCTATTTTTGTTTATCCTCCCATTTAGTATAAACTATGAATTAACTCATGATCATTCAAGCCAAGATTGTCCCCAACAACCAGTTCTTCTATACAGTCCTCATTACTCACCAATCCCAAATCTGAAATGGCATCACCTCTTGTTGGTTAGGCAACTATTTGATGAATAAATCTGTCATTTGTGACAGCCAAGAAAATCTGGGCCCTCCTATTATTAGTAGCACTTGTCCTCCGATCTATATCTGGGAAGTTAAAGTTCTTCTTTGAGTACTTGTTCATGTCCATTCCAACCAGGTGTGTGCACGCCAGCTGGAAGATTTTCTCTTAGCAGCGTCCCTAGGGTCAGCCTGGGCACCCCCTGGAGTCACACCTTCATGGTGCCCAATATAGTCCCATGCCGACCCCCTACCCCCGTAGTTCCTTCTTACTGCCAGTGACGACTAGCTGGAACTTCGCTCGCTCTTGTGGCAAGTGCTTTGGCAGTGACTTCTGTAGTTTCTTGTACATACAATATAAATAGTTCTTTAGTTAGATACAGTTGTAATAGTTTAGTTTTGTTTGGGGGGTTTCCCCCACAACGTTTATCCACCTCTGGGGTATGTAGGGTCTCCAGGGTTTAAGCTTTGTGAGGACTGTGGCAAATTGGTGCCCAAGAGTGACCCTCACTCTTCCTCTCTGCGGTGCCTCAGAGGGAGTCACCAGAAAGAAAGGTGCAGGATCTGTAAGGGTTTCCGACCCAGAACCCTTAAAGACCAGGAGCAGAGATTTAAAATCCTGCTAATGGAGGCAGTGCTACGACCACACTCTGATTCCAGATTTGCCGAACCTGCGCCGAGTACCTGTTCGTCGGTGCACAATGCTCTGGCGCCGGTGGTGTGTGAACTGGTGCCGATTAAGGACCCTAAGGACCCTCGGCACCATCATGGCTTGGGCCATAAGAAGCCATCCTCGGTGCGGCATCATTCTCAATCCCCAGTGCCGTTAAAGAAGAAGAGGCCGGAGAGGGGTCAGTCCCCCCCGCCGAAGCCTAAAGGGTTGGTGGCGTCCACGAGTGCCTCAGGACAGACTGCCTTGTCCCTACAGCCCTCCAGGGTCTCATCGATTCCTGCCCCGGCTGGGGTCCAGTTGAGTCCAAACCCCCCACGGTCCCCAGACCACCAAGGCAACCACCTCCAGCTCCCATCGACACCGGAGGCATTTGAGGTGGCCAAGGACCTGATGCCAACCTCTCACAGAGGAGGGACAAGTCACCAGTGACTGTGTGGTCCCACTTCCAATCCAGGGGCAAACAAGCGCTGATGGTATGCCGATCTCCATCCCCGCGCACCTCTGCCTGTCATGGCCAGTACACATAGGGGAGCCACACAGATCCCCGGCCTCTCGGCACTGCTCGCCAGCAGTCCAGGGCACAGCTCCTCTGTGGTCCTCCTACTCAGAGACCTCGGAGTCGGAGGTGGACTCCTATCACTCCAGCAGGTCCAGGAGCAGGAGGTCCAGATCGCGCCGGAGTCATCAGCCATCGTGGCCACAGCAGAGGCAGCCATCATCCCAATGGCCCTTTTGGACACCTTGGGCGTACCACCAGAGCCAGGGTCAGGTCCAAGGTCCCGGTTGGCATCGCTGTCTTCGGCATCCTTTGTTCCACTGCCTACCGAAGTGCCAGGCCAACTGTTATAGACAACTGCTCCAGCACCGACCTTTCCATCAACGGCACCGCCGACGGCTGCAGCTCTGACTCCACTGGCATTGACGAGGTCAGCACTGCCGGATCTAGCGGCTCCCACATAGACCGTGGCATGGAGGCTCCCACCTCCAGTGGTCTCAGCACCGCATCCCATCGAATACCACGTGCCGAGAGACCCAAGGGGTACTGAAGGCAGTGAGCAAGGTCCACTGCCAGTTCTCTTCTCATCATCCTCACCAGGTAAAATGGTTGCGGGGGCGTTGGTGGCTCCACCTCTGGAGGATAACCAGGTTCTCCAGCAGCTCCTGCACCGGGCTGCCCAAAGTCTGGGCATATAGGCAGAGGAGATGGTGGAGTCAGACCCAGTTGTGGACATCCTCACACCCTTGGGCCCATCGTGGGTAGCCCAGCCACTGATAAAGACAGTAATAGATACAACTAAATCTGTGGCAGACCCCTGCTTCTCTGGCCCCTATGGCCAAGAGAGCTGAAACCATCCAATGAGTATTTTGTACCATCCAATGGGTATGAACACTTATATACCCACCCACCCCCCAACCTGTTGGTGGTTGATGAAGCCAATCAGAAGGAATGTCAGGGCTTCCAAGGTTCCATCCCAAAAAATAGGGAGGCAAAGAGATTCAACCTGTTTGGCAGGAAGGTCTATTCGATGGGGGGGGCTAAAGCTCCGCATCACAAACCAGCAGGCAATCGTGAGCAGACATGCACACAACACCTGCGCTGCGATGGCCATGTTTGTAGAGCTCCTGCTGCAAGACTTTCACACTCAGTTCTCCAGACTAGTGGAAGAGGGGAAGCTGGTCTCCCAGGCCTTCCTACAGGTGGCTTTGGATGTGGCAGACGCAGCCTCACGCACACTGGCCACGGGGGTGGTAATGAGGCGGGGCTCCTGGTTGCAGGTCTCTGGACTACCCCATGAGGTCCAACAAATGATCCAGGACCTCTCCTTCAAGGACATAACCCTGTTTTCTGAGAAAACGGACAAGAGACTTCATAGTCTGAAGGACTCTAGGGCCACTCTAAGATCTCTGGGGTTTCACACGCCAGCTACTCAGCATAGGCATTTCAGACCTCAGCATGCCCCTAGGTTCTATCAGGCTCAGAACCACCAGGATGCTTTTCGTAGGAGGAATGGGAGTGGTAGGAGGAGGCAGCAGCCCTCCTTGGGGCAGAACTCCAGTCAGCCCAGGCCTTTGGCCGTTCCCAGACCCCCCTTTTGAAGGTGCAGTCGAGGATAGCTCACCAGTTCAGACTATGGATCCATCCCCTCTTACCTTCTCATCCCATTTATCCCCTTTCTACCGTGCTTGGTCCCGTATCACCTCAGACTGTTGGGTGCTCTGCACGGTAGAGAGGGGATATTCCATCCAATTTTTTGCCCTCCCGCCCCTACACCCCCCTTCAGGGACCCCTCTCATTAGCAACTTCTAATTCAGGAAGTGCAATCCCTCTTCTCGGTAGGGGCAGTGGAAGATGTTCCTCAGGGGCAAAGAGGCAAGGGGTTCTACTCCCGGTATTTCCTCATACCGAAAGCCAAGGGTGGTCTCAGACCCATCCTGGACCTGTGGCAGCTCAACAAGTTCGTAAAGAAACTCAAGTTCCTCATGGTCTCACTGACCTCCATTATCCCCTCATTGTATACAGGAGACAAGTACGCCGCCCTCGACTTGAAGGACACACATTTCCACATAGCAATAATTCCTCCTCTCAGATGTTATCTCAGATTTGTGGTGAACAGCAGCCACTATCCATTTACCGTACTCCCTTTTAGCCTGTCAGCAGCACCTTGTGTTTTCACCAAATGCATGGCAGTCATCACGGTGTTACTACGCAAGCGCCGGATTCAGGTTTTCCCATACCTCAACAATTCGGTCTCCTTCTCAACAAGGCCAAATCCACTCTGTCCCCAGTGCAGAGGATAGAGTTTATAAGCACAGTACTGGACTCGACCCAGGCCAGATCATATCTCCCAAAAACCAAGTTTCAGTCTCTAGGAGACATCATATGGGGCCTCAGACAGTTCCTGACGACTACAGCAAGGAATTGCCTGAAACTGCTGGGGCATATGGCTGCATGCACCTAAATAGTACAGCATGCCAGACCCAGACTTCGCCCACTTCAGTCATGGCTGGCGTCAGTTTATCAACCGGCCCGGGATGCTCTGGACAGCATCGTAACCCTTCCCCACCCTGTACAGGTCTCCCTCCTGTGGTGGCTTGACCCACAGATGGTTTGTGCAGGAGTACTTTTCACGAGCCCCCAGCCATCCCTTTCATTAGTTACAGATGCCTCAGATCTGTGCTGGGGGGCTCATTTGGGAGACCTCAGGGCTCAGGGTCTCTGATCTCAGGCGGATCTCGCTCAGCATATCAATGTCAGAGAGCTGAGAGAGGTGTGTCTGGTGTGCCAGGTTTTCAGAGCCCACATATCAGGCAGATGCGTATCAGTCCTCATGGACAACACCACAGCGATGTTTTATATCAACAAACAGGGTGGTGCATGCTCCTCTCTCCTGTGCCGGGAAGCCATCATACTGTGGGACTTCTGTGTAGAGCACTCGATACATCTGCAGGCTTCATTCCTCCCCGGCATACAGAATGAGCTGGCGGACAGTCTCAGCTGAAGTTTTCACGGCCACGAGTGGTCCCTCCAGCCAGACATGGTGAACTCAATTTTCCATCTCTGGGGTTTTCCCCAGATAGACCTGTTTGCCACACATGGCAACAGGAAGTGGCAACTATTTTGCTCCTTCATGAATCACGGCCCGGGTTCCATCACAGATGCCTTTCTTCTCCTGTGGGGGGATGATCTGCTCTACGTGTTCCCACCAATACCGCTGGTCCACGAGGTGCTCCTAAAGGTCCACAGGGACCGGGACTAGGACTTACTGATAGCTCCAGCATGGCCACACCAGCAGTGGCTCACATCGCTCCTGGAAATGTCCGTGGCGACCGTGCTCACCTTACTACTGGTCCTGGACCTGATCACGTAGGATCACAGCCACCTCCAGCACCCAAACGTAGAGTCGCTCCACCTCACAGCTTCTATGCTCCATGGTTAAATGCCATGGAACTGTCCTATTCTGATCAAGTCAGACAAGTTCTCCTTGGCAGTAGGAAGCCCTCTACAAGGGCAACGTACCTTGCCAAGTGGAGGAGGTTCTCTCTCTAGTCGGAGCAACACCATCAGTTGCCGACGCTCGCCCTGGTCCCTTTCAGCTGGACTACCTCGTCCATCTTAAACAACAGCCTCTGTCCTTGTCATCAATAAGGGTCCACTTGGCCGCCATTTCCGCCTTCCATGTGGGTGCAGATGGCTTCTCGGTCTTTGTGAACCCTATGGTTAACCATTTCCTCAAAGACCTTGACAGGCTCATCAGCCTGTCCCAGCTTGGGACCTTAACCTAGCCCTCGCCAGACTTATGGGTCCTCCATTTGAGCCATTGGTGACATACTCCCTGCTTTCTCTCTTTTACAAGGTGGCATTCCTAGTGGCGATAACCTCAACTAGGAGAGCTCAGGACACTTACATCTGAGCCCCATTACACAGTATTTCATAAGGACAAGGTTCAGCTCAGACTACACCCGGCTTTTCTCCCTAAAGTTGTCTCCCAGTTTCACATGAGCCAGGACATCTTCCTCCCAGAGTTTTATTCCTGCAACAGGGAGCATAGGCTTCACTCATTGGATGTCCTCAGAGCGCTGGCCTTCTATATAGAGAGAACTAATCCATTATGAAAGTCCATACAGCTATTTGTAGCGGTGGCGGACAGGATGAAGGGTCTCCCCGTCTTATCCCAACACATCTCGTTGTGGATCACATCATGCATTCTGGAGTGTTACGGCCTGGCGAAGGTGCCGACTCCATCGATCACCGCTCACTCCACCAGGGCTCAGGCCTCCTCAACTGCATTCCTGGTGCAGGTTCCCATCCAGGAGATCTGCAGAACAGCAACATAGTCCTCGATACACACATTTACGATGCACTATGCAATCACACAACAGGTCAGAGATGATGTGGCCTTTGGACGAGCTGTGCTCTAATCAGTGGATGACTCCGACCCCACCTCCTGAACTTTGGCTTGTGTCACCTGGTTGGAATGGACATGAACAAGCACTCAAAGAAGAAAATCAGTTACACACCTTCTCGTAACTGTTGTTCTTTGAGATATGTTGTTCATGTCCATTCCAATACCCACCCTCCAACCTCTCTGTCGGAGTAGCCAGCAAGAAGGAACTGAGGGGGGTGAGGGATCGGCAAGACACTATACTGGGTGTCATGAAGGCGTGACTCCAGGTGGTGCCCAGGCTGACCCTACAGATGCTGCTAAGGGAAAATCTTCCAGCTGGCATGCATGTGGCACGCACACACCTGGTTGGAATGGGCACCACATCGCGAAGAACAACAGTTACGAGAAGGTGAGTAACCATTTTTTCCCCATAACCACAGAATTACTAGTAGTATTTTTTCATTAAAAGCATTAAAGAGGGCTCTGTCCATATTCAAATCATATCCTTGAGATCTGCAGCACACCCCAAGCACTATCCCAGGGATACCTCTAGTAGCTGTCTTCCCCAAAGTGATTTTGATCCAAACAAATTCTATCTTATCAACTCCATAACTTCTAATTCCTTTACAGTCTACCTCATCATTCATATGCAATGCTACTTCACCACCTTTGCCTTTATTTCTGTCTTTCCTGAACAGCACATGCCCTTCAATACCTCTACTCCAATCATGACTTCTATTCCACCATGTTTCTGTTATCCCTATAATATCTGGCTTCACTTCATGAACCAGTAGTTCTAGTTCCTCCATTTTGTTACCCAGGCTCCTTGCACTGGTGTACAGACATTGTAGTTATTGCTGCTTGGCTTTGCCCGATAGGGTACAGTCATTCTACTAAAAAAAGAAGAAGAGGAGTACTTGTGGCACCTTAGAGACTAACAAATTTATTAGAGCATAAGCTTTCGTGAACTACAGCCCACTTCTTA